GCGGCATCTCTGATAATACTCTCAAGTACTTTACATATTATGCTAGTCAGGGTAACCGGTCTATAGTTGTACGTGGAGTGACTATCGCCCTTCTTGAAGATAGGATTCACATAAGCCACTTTCCATTCACTGGGGACCATTTGTTCATCCAGGCATTTACAAAACAGGATCTTCAGGGGCTCTGCAAGCTCGTTGCACAACTCTCTTAGCACTCTAGGATGCACCATGTCAGGTCCGGGACTCGTATGGACCTTTAGCCTGGACAGTTTATTTCTAATACCTTCTTCTGTGAACACAATGTGGGTCAGTGCTGTGTCGAACCGTCTGTCCTCAAACGCAAGAAGGTTAGTTGCATCCTCTCTTGTGAACACTGAGGAAAAGAAGCTGTTCAATGCCTCAGCTTTATCCTGGTCAGAATCTGCGTAACTACCATCCACCAGCCTCAGGTCTGATACTCCTACTCGCGTTTTCAATTTCGACTTTGCATAGCGGTAAAACGCCTTTGGGTTTGACTTGACCTCGCTTGCAACCAGCCTCTGGAACTCCTTTTCAGCCCTCCTACACTCTATCTTTGCTTGGTTTCTGGCTCTTGCATACATCCTCCTGTCTTACTCATCGTTTGACCCAACCCACGTCTTGAATTTCAGGGTTTTCTTAATTTTGTCGACCGCCGCATGGTTCATGTGTAGGGATCCCCTCGTATTCCTAGAAGCACTGGGTGTGGTCTTGGGTATATATTTATCGATCAAATGGGTCATTTTACTAGTTATGATATTCAGCGTAGTGTCTCCGTTCTTGTACCTTAATAAGTCAGGCCAGTTGATACTCCTCATCTCTTCCCTCATGCCATTGTAATTTCCCTTGTAATATTTGCACCTTGGCCTGGCCTTATCTTGAACTAGGTAACAGTTAAATCTGAATGACAACCCTGTATGGTGATTGGTGCAAGGTGTTCCAGTTTGGTCACCATACCCTCCTCGTTTGTTATGATGAGGTCAAGTGGCTTGGGTGTTTGCTCCCCTCTGTAATGTGTCGGGTCTCTAACATGTTGGAACAGAAAATTATCTCTCAGAGTTTCTACAAAAAGAGTAGCAGGGTTATTCAAGTCATTCGGGGTAGACTCGTTTCTCCAGTCGATGTCGCCATAGTTAAAGTCCCCCATGATAAGGAGGTGGCTAGGGTTGAGCATCGCCGCGTTGTTTATTAAGGTTCTTAAGTTCCTTTGATTTAGTGGGCCACAGTTTGGGGATCTGTAGATACACCCGACAATAAGTAAGTCCCTTCCCTTTAATTTAATTTTACACCACTTGGACTCTTCAAAAACATCCTCTCCCTGTACCCTCTCCTGGCTGGCTCTAAGGTCTTGCCTAGCGTAGATAACCACACTCCTCTTGCAAGTTTCTTGAGAAAGGTTCGTAAATGAGTCATATCCAGCAATACTGAACTCGCATTCCTCTGGGTCGATTCTCCTGTTCTTGAACAACAGTTCTACAACGCCTACAATATCTGGTTGGTGTACTCTTAGTAGTGTTTCAAACTCCTCTCTCTTATCAAGGAACGTGTCAGTATTAGTGTACATGATATTCAAGCCAGTGTGAATTGAGTAGATTAGGGGAGAAGCAGTGTGGGTTAAGTACATTAAGGGAGAAGCAATGTGGGTTGAGTACATTAAGGGAGAAGCAGTGTGAGTTGAGTACATTAAGGGAGAAGCAGTGTGGGCTGAGTACATTAAGGGAGAAGCAGTGTGAGTTGAGTACATTAAGGGAGAAGCAGTGTGGGTTGAGTACATTAGGGGATAAACAGTGTGGGATGAGTACATTAAGAGAGCAGTATGGGTAGAGTACATTGAGGGAGAAGCAGTGTGGGTTGAGTACATTAAGGGAGAAACAGTGTGGGTTGAGTACATTAAGGGAGAAGCAGTGTGGGTTGAGGGTGGCAAAAAATTGTGGCATTAATTAAATACAAATCAAACACGTGACATGAGATTTCATAGTTTGTTGGAATGAGTGAAAATAGTTCCCAGAGAATGTCTGAGTAATGATGGATGTGTAATGTCACTGGTCCTCTCAAGAGGACAGTTTATTACCAAATGGTCGTGCCACAGTTTTCCCTGCACCTCAGTCTGTTATCCTAGTTCAAGACAGAAGCCCAATCCACCGATTATGTGTTAAGAGTGGAGGTAGACGGAGGTAACAGGTGGGCTACTGAACAGTGTGCGCTGAGTTGTGGGAAAGGCTCTTGCAGCAGTCAAGGGTCTGCGTGAACCTGGTGGAGTCCATGCTCAGGAGACTTAATCAAGCCATTGATGCACAAGGAGGGTGGACATGCTACTGATACTGTACAGTATATTGTACATGATTATGTGGCTCCTAAAGTTATATTGCATAATATAAAACTTGTATAATAAAAATTTAGTTATGTTGACATCAGTATGTATTTTATGACATGTAAAATAATTACTGTACAGGGTACTGTATTATCAAATACTGTATTCACAATAAAAAAACTATTTAAATTGTGGCAGTTCCATATATTAATACTCATAAGATCATTACATAAAATATGAATATGTACACTGTTTCATAAAAATCAAAGACAAATATACAATATCTTCAGACTATTGACGTCAATAAATTGTCCTTACATGATTGTGGTCATCATTTACCCCAGTGAAGTGCATGAAACACTAACATTTCTGATGGTGACTCAGTCCTATCATATGTTAACTGCATTACCTGGTGCAATCTGTTTTCTGCCATCATTAAACTGATCTGAGATTTTTACTTTCAACACCTTTGTTGCAATCAGCTGTCATATAGTACAATACATAAGATACACAATTCATTAAAAACGAATTAAAGTGTCTCATATTAACCCAATTTATAGTGAGTGTGTGTGTGTGTGTGTGTGTGTGTATTACAAAAGTATCATATATTGAAACAGGATGTTTACTTATTTACCGAATGGCCACCCATTAGAGATGGCCATATCAAGGGTAGAAGGTCAGAAGCCAGTGTTCTTGATAATTTTGTCAAGGGCTGTTTTGAAGCAATTACTCTAGTAGGAAAATCATAACACATATGGTATTAATACACAGGTTACTACCTGTACTAATATAAAAAAAAAATATTCATTGCCAGACTGACACAAAACTATAACTACAGATAAGACTGCATATCTATTTTACACCAGGTAGCACACAGAAACATAGGATCCTCAACCTCCTGAACCTAGAAGAATAATGGACTCTTGTAAATTTCAATTCAACACCTTCTGCTTCACATTAATATCATAATGCTCACGGCTTTATATTATTCAAATAAGGCAAATGAAAAAAGGAAAAGAAAAAAAGAAGCCCAATCATTAAGATTAAGGATATACTATATTAAGATTCAAATATGTGACTTCCATTTTCTATTCAACTCAAGTCATGACTGTAGATTGTAGAAAACCTGAACTGTATTAAATCCCTTGTGTCTTCTCTGTGTTAAATAAAATTATCTGGGATCAGCCAAATAAAACATTAAAAGTAGCATCCCCATAATGAAGGGGTTAAGTGACATGTTATCAACAAGAACTGCTTACTAAAGTTGCTCATGTATCTCAAATTGATGCTTCTTACTGCAATCATTAAATTTCAAATTCAGGTCCTACTATAACAGAAGAGAGAAAGAAAGTAAGGGAAGAAGGGATGTAGAGAGAAGGAGAGCAAGTCAGTGGAGAGAGTGAGTGAGTTACAGTACATACTTAGGTTTAGGGAAGAGGAAGCAGGAGAGGATATAATGAGGGAGGGTGGAAAAGAAAGGAACGAGACAGAGGGATAGAGGAAAGGGTGGGTGGAAATGAGTGCGAGAGACGGAGGGAAGGAGGGAGGGAGTGGGAGCGGGAGGGAATGCCAACATGTTCCTGGGTCATCCATTGTTGACAACCATCAGTAATTGCTCTATTATTAAGTACAGTTATCTTCTTTTGTTGTATGACTCCGGTGCCAGAAGAAAAGTTTAATATCTCCCACAGTAGAACTCACCAACTTTAGTCCCTGACTGTACAGCAGGTTAACATCAGGTTTATGTATATCATGTTAATGTACAGGTTATCAGGAATGCAAAATGTGTGTTAAACAGAAATTGACTGCACCTTTTTGGAACACATCTACTACATGATTGGGTATACCTGTACAACATTGTGTGGAACAAACCATAATTCACTGATGTGGTCTCCACATGGTGTGTCTTTATCCCAGTTAGTCATGGCACTGCACTACTCATTGATGACGTGGTGGCCCTGCAGCTGCAGGCACAGGAGTGTTTGACAACTGACAGGTGCTATGTGCTAGATTGGTGTGATATTGGTTGTAATGATTGGAGTGCAATGTCTGGCAACACCGTCTCGGCCGGCTCCTCACCTGCAGGTGGTGTATGTTGAAGACTGCAGGTAGTGCAAGTTGGGGACTGCAGGTGGTGCAAGTTGGGGATAGCAGGTGGTGCACATTAGAACTTGCAGGTGGTGCACATTGGAGACTGCAGGTGGTGCACATAACTTGCCGGTGGTACACATTAGAACTTACAGGTGGTGCATGTTAAACGATGATAAATCCCCCAGTGCTGGCACTTTTCCACACTTATTTTAAATGCAGGCAGTTACAGTTTGGGCATCAGTGAGTGCGTGTGGATCTTAAGTTAGGTATTAGGCAATCATACGTGAATACTACAGATATAGTGCCTCCTTATTTCACCGATTATAAGACACCTGGCCAAGGTGCTTCGTTCAGCTTGTTGCTTAAATGTGTGAAATATTATTGTGATTATACTGCCAGTGAGTAATTCTATCTCTGCTCGGCCACATCTCTGTAAGTGTACAAATAGTGTGGACACAATTGGGGATTACTTGTGTGTTTCTTTGTACTCACCATAGGTGTACATTTATGCCATGAATACAAGAAAATAGTTGACTATTGTACATTGATTTTCATTCACCCAATGGGAAGTGATGCACTGTTACAACCTGTAATTCACTTTACTGTACAACATTGTGTAGGACAAACTGTAATCCACTGTAATACCTGTATAGTACTTCACTATACAACATTATGTGGGGTATACTTGTAATTCACTATACCTGTACAACATAATGTAAAGAAAACCTGTTATTCACTATGTGGAGATGTTATCTATCTGAATGTGAGAGTAAAATGCCTTTACCTGGTAATCTATTTGAAGAACAATTTGAAATGAGAGAAGAAAAATATCTAACTACAAAATCAGTCATGTTCATCTGTTTTCACACATATTGTTTCAATATTGTTTGTCCTAAATACAAGCTTTGAATTACTTTAAATAGGTACTACATTTACAATTAATTACAGTAATGACAAAATTTCTATTAAATTTGAAACCCTTAAGTAGTTTATAACTGAACTATACTGTTTAAGTTTATGAGCAAAAAGTAATTATAAGACTTGTGATGTAAATCTTCTTGATGGTAAAGTTAGCACTTTATAAATCTTATTTTGACTGATTTATGTACTGTACTGCAGTGTAGTGTCCAAGATCATTATATGATGCTGTACACTGAGATACAATGATTGTAATACTGTACTGAGCTACAATGATTGTAATACTGTACTGAACTACAATGATTGTAATACTGTACTGAACTACAAGGTGAACAATATTTATAATACAGTACTATACAGTACATCATCCCAATAAAAAGTACAGTGCACTGTGGCTTGAGCTTGTTAACGGTATAGTACTGTAGACTGAACCTTCATCTAACGTTAGAGTTACCCCACAGATGGTTGCTACAGTACAGTACATCACTCTGTTACAATGACCCTTTCTCTTAAGAGGGTTTTCATCTAATCTTAATAGGAGCGACCATGTCTTTGTAAGGGAAGGTTCTACATCCTGTTGACCATTCAAGTAACACTGGTTCAAATTTAAAGCTTGGGAGCCTTCCAGTTGTCCTTCTCGGCCCTGATGGCAGCCATAGTTGTTACAGCATCAGTAGTGTTAGCATGTTGTTGAACTGAAGCTTCGGTCACTCGCATGAAAGGATTAATCTGCTTTTCCTCTCCTGAAAATTGGTAGAACCACATTAGCATTCTAAAGTCATGCCAAAGACACACAAAATTGTAATGATGCTCCCCTTTGTGCCACAGGCCAGGGGCATCAGGTACAGTAATTGCCTTGTCCATCCATCACTGGGGTCATCACTTTGTCAAGCCAATTACTGTACAGGGGTGTAACAGCACCATTTGTATTATATAAATATTTACCCAAATGTATAATACCAAATTATTCACTAGCTTATTCAACCATGACTCAGATGTTGATGTCATGAATTGCTGAGGTGACATTGCCTTCGGGGAGCGAGCGAAGGCAGGCTGAGGTCAGCACATGTCACCAACAACATATCTGATGCGTTTCCTCTTGGAGGCCTGTTCGCTCTCTCTCCCTGGTTAAGTGACAGAGACTCATATCACTTGTTACCCAGTGAACACCTCACTTAAGTGTTCTCCTACAAGTGAACTAAGACACTTCCCTTAGTAGAGAAGGTACAATATATTCTCAACTGAACTCAGAACCTGTGAAACTATATTTTTTTACAATAAAGCAAAACCAACAAAGTGTTTACTTCAGCCCTGCCACTTATCAATTCAAGAACTAATATATATATATATATATATATATATATATATATATATATATATATATATATATATATATATATATATATATATATATATATATATATATATATATATATCTATATCATCTATCTATCTATCTACCTATCTATACATATACAGTACTGTATATATATAATATATATATATATATATATATATATATATATATATATATATATATATATATATATATATATATATATATATATATATATATATATATATATATATATATATATATATTTATATATATATATACATACAGTGAACCCTCGCTTTACGTGGTCAATTGAACCCACGGAGGCCCGAGAAACGTGTAAAGTGAACAACATAACATATGGGATTAATTGAAATAGAGACCGGGCCGTCCCCCAAACTCCACTTTTTCCGACACAATACCTATGTTGTAGTAAAAATAACATCTTAATTTTATGATGGTAGGCACACAATTAATATTTAAGAGAAATACAGTCGCCAGGTTAATATCCATTCAAATAATGGACTCAACCCCCCTCTTCCCAGCTTACTGGCCTCCTCCTCTCTGAGAAATGTTTGGGTGAAAACACTAGATCTTAAAGTATAGTAATAAATAATACCTCAGACTTAAGTTAGGATAATATAATTGACATTTCTGGATTCCTTGCAGGTCAGGGAATATTTTGAATGTAAACTTCATATATTTTGCACAAAAGATAAAATATTTGCTCTGTGTAAACAAAATTATTACATTAGATCTAAAAGTTGTATGTCTAATGCAAAATCCATGATGTTTATATTCAAAATGATCATCATGTTGTAAGAATTCCAGCAATATATATTATATTCTGGCCAGGTAATTTGTATGAATTTTATGAGCTTAATAAAAAATTATACTTCACCCGCGTATATGAGTAGATGCACCGCGTAAAATGAAATTCCGGTTCTGGCAGGGTACGGCGTAAATGTAGTAAATGTAGAATCACATAAAGTGAAACCGCGTAAATTGGGGTATTACTGTATGTATGTATGTATATATATATACAGTATATATATATACAGTATATATATATACAGTATGTATATATATATATATATATATATATATATATATATATATATATATATATATATATATATATATATATATATATATATATATATATATATATATATATATATATATATATATAACGAATCTAATTGGTTCTAGAACCTTGTTTGTTATAGCATTCGTTCGTTATAGGATTAATCCATTCCAGGCCCCCAAATACAACCACTTAACACTGAAAAATATAATATAAAATTGTAAAAATTTTAAAAAAGTGCATAAATATGCATCTAAACCCCTGAAATAAAGAATATCATTAAGACTTGTAATAAAAAACAATAAATTAGTTAAAAAAAAAAAAAAATTTAATAATGTTCGTTGTAGGAGTTTCGTTTGTTATAGCATTCTCAATTTTATAGGTAAAACCGTTCGTTATAGGAATATTCGTAGTAGGATCCGTTCGTTATAGCATACCCCACTGTGTGTGTATATATATATATATATATATATATATATATATATATATATATATATATATATATATATATATATATATATATATATATATATATATATATATATATATATATATATATATATACAGTATATATATATATATATATATATATATATATATATATATATATATATATATATATATATATATATATATATATATATATATATATATATATATATATATATATATATGCTGCTAACCACAAGGAAAGAAGAAAACACGAAGTTCCCAAGCGCTTTCGTGTAATTCACATTCCTGCACAGCTAAAAACCTGGAACGTCAATGTGGCATTTAAAAACTCATGCACTGTTAAACAAATGTTAATCAAGAACTCCCCCAACAACACAATTGGTTGCATTTATAAAGTTCCTTGCAAGGAATGTAATATGTTTTACTTAGGCCAGACAGGTAAAGATCTTGCAACTAGAATTAAACAACACAAATACAGTGTTAGGACAGGCCAGGAATCCAATGCTTTGTTTGTTCATTTGAGGGATAACAAACATTGCATTGACTGGGATAATGCCTCCTCAATATTACCATGTAATTCAATCGATAGTAGGAACATCATAGAATCTAGTCTTATTAAACATACCGAAGCATCCAACATGAATTTGAGTAACGGCATGTACAAGCTGGACAATTTTGTAATTAAGAAGATTTGTGATCAGGTGAGAAGGCCGGGTCACTTGACCATCTGACCTGACCACCAACCGTTGTGTGCTATTTAAAGATTAGTTGGGTCATTACCTAATACCTGACCATTGTGGACCTGTTCTCACCCTCCTCTGTATATATACACCTTGATTTGTATTACTCTCTCTAGTCTGTACTCACCCCTGAAGATGTGAATTACACGAAAGCGCTTGGGAACTTCTTGTTTTCTTCTTTCCTTGTGGTTATCAGCATATACCTAGATCACGCGCACCTACAGTGATTTACTTGCATATATACTATATATATATATATATATATATATATAAATATATATATCTATCTATATATATATATATCTATATATATATAGTATATATATATATATATATATATATATATATATATATATATATATATATATATATATATATATATATATATATATATATATATATATATATATATATATATATATATATATATATATATATATATATATATATATATATATATATGTATATACTGTATATACAGTGAACCTTTTACGCTGCTTTCTACATTTACGCTACTTTGCCAGAACCAGAATTCTACTTTACGCTGCATCTACTCATATAGCGGTGAAGTATAATTTTTATTTAGCTCATAAAATTCATACAAATTATCCGCCAGAATATAATTTACATTGCTGAATTTTACAATTTGATGATCATTTCAGGATTTTGCATTAGACATACAAATTTTAGATCTAATGCAAGTATTTTGTTTACTCAGAGCAAATATGTTATCTTTTGTGCAAAATATATGACATTTATATTCAAAATATTCCTGGTCTTGCAAGGAATCCAGCAATGTCAATTATATTATCCTAACTTTAGTCTGAGGTATTATTTATTACTAAAAATGTAAATATACTGTTATAACCCAATCATTTCTCTGGTAGGGAGGGAAGGTGGGGGGTGAGGGGTAGGGAGGAGGGAGACCCAGGGAGCAGGTGGGGAAGAGGGGGAGGTGGGGTAATTTGATTGACAGATAGTATTTCAGTAAGTATATTTTGTTTATTTATTGAAGATATTTGTTTTAGCTCATAAAATTTAACAAATTACTCGGCCAGAATATAATTTACATTGCTGGAATTCTTACAATTTGATGATCATTTTGAATATAAACATCATAGATTTTATTAGACATACAAATTTTAGATCTACTTTAAGTATTTTGTTTACTCTGAGTAAATATGTTATCTTTTTGTGCAAAAATATATGACATTTATATTCAAAATATTCCTGGTCTTACAAGGAATCCAGCAATGTCAATTATATTATCCTAACTTTAGTTTGAGGTATTATTTATTACTATACCTTAAAATCTAGTGGTTTTCCCCCAAACATTTCTCAGAGAGGGAAGAGCCAGGAGTGTGAGAAGAGGGGAGGAGTTGAGTCCATTATTTGAATGGACAGGCCAGGAATCCAATGCTCTGTTTGTTCATTTGAGGGATAACAAGCATTGCATTGACTGGGATAATGCCTCCTCAATATTACCTTGTAATTCAATTGATAGTAGGAACATCATAGAATCTAGTCTCCTTAACATACCGAAGCATTCAACATGAATTTGAGTAATGGCATGTACAAACTGGACAATTTTGTAATTAAGAAGATTTGTAACCAGGAGAGAAAGTTGGGTCACCTTACCCTCTGACCTGACTACCGACCGTTGCCGTGCTATTTAAAGATTAGTAGGGTCATTACCTAATACCTGACCATTGTGGACCTGGTCTCACCCTCCTCTGTATATATACACCTTGTTTTGTACTTCTCTTTAGTCTGTACTCTCCCCTGAAGATGTGAATTACACGAAAGCGCTTGGGAACTTCGTGTTTTCTTCTTTCCTTGTGGTTATCAGCATATATACCTGAATCGCGCACCTACGGTGATTTTCTTGCATATACAGTGAAGCCCTCGTTAGTCGGACCCATTTAATCCGGATTTGGGATCAGTCGGACAAAATGTCTTAACATCTCCACCACTGAGTATTGTGGGGGGGGGATGCAACTTTTAGCTTCAGACATGAAAAATATTTACCATTTACTGCCAGTAAGCAATGGAAACGTAAAATATGTACCAATTAGTAATGAAAAGTTGTGCAGTTCCTTCAGCAAATGAAGCTCACCAACTTACAATAGGCTAAATTACCTTACAACGTGTTTTCAGTAGTCTATGTTGAAGTTCTTAGCACAGGCTAACTTATCTTATCATATACGGTATCACAGTTCTCATTGATCTACAAAAAATACCGGTAATAAAAACTTTTTTGATATTTCACACTTAATATAATACCCGGTAATCTACTTCAACCTCCTATTGTTTACAACGACGCATGACGCACCACCAGCTGTTGAGTATCAGCTAGACGGTACACGTGTTTTTCGAATCGTTTTCAGTTAAAAAACTGTTACATCACATGTATATTTTACCTTAACTGTGCCTGAATGAATATATTCTCGGAAATAAATAGTAGTTTTGCTGAAACATGATGTATGTCAATGTAAAATAGGATAAAATACATGACGAAAACAAAAGATTTTACCTAACCTTCCGATGTTCAAGAGAAGTTACTCATTTTTTTTAATAGTTCTTGGTTAAAATACTGTTATATTACAATGGTATTCTATACATACTGTGCTTGATATAATGTATTCATGGAAATGTAATATTTTTGCTGAAATGACGTACGTATTACAGTGGAAAGTGGGATAAAATCGTGACGAAAACAATGACTTTCGCTTTCTTTCGTTCAAAAGATATTACCGTAATCGCTTTTCGATTGGTTTTCAGTTAAAAAACTGTTGTATTACAATAATATTCTATCCTAATTGACTTGAATAAATATTACGATACCATATTTCTGAATATTTTCATTAAAATCCATCCAAATCATTTTCCTTGTCATCGTCTGCAGCACCAAACAGCTTCTCCCAGTCCTCTCCTTGAACAGGGCTAGAGGGTACGTGTTTTTTTAATCGTTTTCAGTTAAAAAACTGTTACATCACACGTATATTTTACCTAAACTGCGCCTGAATGAATATATTCTAGGAAATAAATAGTAGTTTTGCTGAAACGTGATGTATATCAATGTAAAATAGGATAAAATACATGACGAAAACAAAAGACTTTACCTAAGCTTCCGATGTTGAGATGTTATTCGTTTTTTTAATAGTTTTCGGTTAAAATACTGTTATATTACAATGGTATTCTATACATACTGTGCTTGATATAATACATTCACGGAAATGGAATATTTTTGCTGAAATTATGTATGTATTACAGTGGAAAGTGGGATAAAATCGTGACGAAAACAATGACTTTGAAATATACTGCAATATTAACCCCTAAATCGGTTAATTCGGGCAATCGGCTAAAACGGACACCCTTCCCCCCCTATTAGTCCGAATTAATGAGGGTCGACTGTGTGTGTGTGTGTGTGTGTGTGTGTATATATATATATATATATATATATATATATATATATATATATATATATATATATATATATATATATATATATATATATATATATATATATATATATATATATATATATATATATATACATACATTGTGTGACCAACACAGGGGTACTTTACTTTTCATAGAAATATTATGAACTTGACATCAATATCTATCTATGGTAGAGGGGACAGAAGGCAGGCAGCACACACTATTACCTATGGTAGAGGGGACAGAAGGCAGGCAGCACACACTATTACCTATGGTAGAGGGGACAGAAGGCAGCCCTTCATCACGTTGTTGCTGAACCCAGGCTATTTTTTCTTGTATTGCTGTGTTGTTTGGTTCTACATGAGCACCAAACTTGAGGTTTTGTATGGCGTACTCGTGTCCACAATAAACATGCTGAAAATAAACCAAGTGAAAATAATTTATCGCAAGTTTACTGGTCACATTCTTCTAAAAAGAGCATAATTAATCTATGCACTGAACTCTCATTAATTCGATATCATCAGGGTCTCTGGGTTAACCGAATTAGACCAAAACATAGAATTTCCCCAATATATCAACATACAATTACCCCAATATATCAACATACAATTACCCCAACATATCAATATAGAATAACCCCAACATATCAACATGACCTCAGTATTCTGAAATATCTCAACTTACTTGGACTCCAGTAATGTGAAGTACAGTACCAGCTAATTCATACATTATTTAGTGTGGGCTAACTATACAAAAATTTCAAGCAGTTAGGCCTAGCAACTATGATAATCCTTCTGATAGTCCAAGTAAAGTAAAGTACAGTACAGCACAGTGCAGTACCTGCCTCCAAGGTTGTGGAGCCCACGTATATACTGTATTTCTGGCACAAAAGTCACTTAAGACTTTTAGATGATGTAAAATCCAGAGAAGAATTGTCAAAACCAGATTTTATTAAATGCTAATCAGTTTGTGAGTGAAACTAAAGTTGGTGTTTCTGAGTTGAGCTGGCCTGCTTCACCTCTAAATAAAATAAAAATGTGAAATTCGAGTTACTTTCATGATGACTCTGGCAGAACATAAATTAAAAGAGACTATATTTGTTTCAAGTTCATTACTTAAAAAGATTTGGACAACATTCAGTCAGCAACCTTAAAATTAAGAATAGAGTTAAGTTATCCCCTTAGAATTAGTGACCCCAGAATTTGGCAGTATACAGGCAGGAGTTTGGGCAAGGAATCTATACTCTTGTACAGAATCCTTGATAATGCTGATGATGCTACAACTAAGGAAATACTATGTTTACTTTTGTCCATTTCAATTTTTAGTTTTTTCATACAGTAAACCCTAGAAGATCCGGACTAAACAGGGGGACCACCTGTCCAAAAAAGCCGATTGTCTGAATCTTCCAGCAAATGTACTACAGTAAATGTATAAAAACGATAAATAATTATATAAAAAACACCAAAAATACAGTACCATATTTTACGGTATTTTAGCAGGGAGTATTTAAGAAAAAACTTTTGTGTGTATTTTCCTCCTGCAGCTATAGTTTTCTTAATATATACAATACCAGGAAATGTGAGGAATAAATAAAAATAATATCAATAAATAAGTTACAACAAAAAATACTGTATAGCCAAATCAGCTAATAAAAGCCAAATCAAAGTTTAACACAGTCGCCATTTGCACACACTCCCTGTTACACCATAGTAACGAAGACCAGCTGGGACGCTGATTTCCTAGCAATGCTCCCCATCCCCCACACCCGGAACTCTCCCGTTCCCTCACTAAGTCAGCTAATTCGTGTGCAAAGAAATGTATTTTCCCTTTACGTGTTTGCCCTTAGGACAATTATTTATTTTACTTTTTTCACAATATGTATGTAGGATGTATGTAACTGTGTAAAAATAAATGAAGAAAGTTATGTACATCTACCCGAAAATACGAGTTGAAAAACAATCATAACGCCTCACAGCTTGGCCCAGTAGCCTGGTGGTTACAGTGATGAATCTAACCTGGCTACAATGCCATGATAATCACTATTAAGCAATATTATATCAGTAAACACTAATAATAACAGTAAATCCAGTGAAATATGGCAGGGACGAGGAGAGTTACAAGAGCAGACGATGCAATAACTAGCAAACAAAGTCACTCACTCCCCTTTCTGCTACCGTTGCCAGGCATACATATGGGGCAAATACATATCTTGTACTGTCGTCTAATTTGAAAATGGTGACGAGCTCAATGATAAACAAATTATATAAACCATGCATTTACCTACGATAACATAATAAAAAACATTGTATCATTACTAGAGTAAATGAAATAATATTTCCACAAACAACAATTAATGACTGTTTATGTTTCCCGCCTAGGGCTTCTGTGTCCCGTGCGCTGACATCTTAGTTACTCAGACCTGAGATGATCTTTGCTGTATTGGGAATGTTTCTTAGAGAGGCTTCCTAGTCCCAGGAACCCCCAAATTTTGTCCGATCTTTCGAAATCCAGATTTACCGGGTCCCAATCTTCGAGGGTTCACTGTACGTATTATAAAAAATGAGAAGTACATTCTGACATGTCATGCTAGTTTAGCTTGACCTCACAACAATCTTCACAACTTGAGAATATTTTATCTCATAACATCTATAATGCAGTACAGTAGCCTGCAAATTACTTTCCACCAAAGAGCACCAATATTAAACACAGAGAAAGAAGATTGTGGTATAAAGCTCCGTGAATGAAGCTTTCTCTGCTGGTACAGATTCCAGGCAAACAACACTTCTACTTTGTAAAAAAAAATTTTATGGTTAAACACACATTATATAGCTAAGGCTTATTGATGTAACTGAAGATTTTAAAAAGCTTAGCAGCTGCTGTCAAGAGTTCATACTGTTACATAGAATGCTGGCCGGAGACCTGACTCATGGGATGCCAGTGGCTTGTATAATGTATACAAAAAGACCTGCCATTGCTCAACCAAGATCACTGTGTGGTGTGGTAGACTATAACACTGTGTGGTGTGGTAGACTATAACACTGTATGGTGTGGTAGACACTTACCGTGTGGTCTGGTAGAGCACCAAGCACTTCAATAAGGGCTCTATGCATCTCAACAGCATTTCCCTCAAAAAATTTGCCACAACCACCGAGGAAGAGAGTGTCTCCTGTAATATTATGAGTATCTTTATATACAGTAACTTGCATCATTTCTTGTACAGTATTTCAGGATTAGTTCAAATTACATAGTTATAACAATTATGTTTTTATATACTGTAAATTGGTTGGTCATCAGTGAACAAAATGTCAAAAATTTACATAAGAAAAAATAAATTTTACCTGTGAATACTGCAGGCTTGTGATGTGGGTCATCTGAAGTAACACTATAACAAATGTGTCCCTGTGTGTGGCAAGGTGTGAACAGACACTCCACCTTGAGGGAGCCGATGGTGAACGTGTCCCCGTGGCTCACCTTCTGGGTTAGCGCACCGATGCGATCATCTCCTCCTACCACTTTCAGGGGTTTCCCAAACAGCTCAACCAATTCTTTATTCCCTCCAGCATGATCCCTGCAAGTGAGGATTACTGTATCATGTTCTTGTGCACATTCTTACCATTTATACCTAAATAAATAAATAAATACATAAATAAAATTGTTCTATACAATACTTTGGAAAAAACATTCTTTGAACTACAGTAGTTATTTCCTATAATTTGTAGGGGGATGACACCTCCTTGGACATTGACAGGGTTGGTGCACACATCAACCCTTCCTGTCAACACTGAACGTGTATCTGGTGTCACTAAATGAGCTGTGGATTTAAACAATCTAGATCATCTACTGTGTGGAGATATAGTAGCTACCAATTGGCCTTTTCATGTAATTATAGCAGCAAAACTTTCCTTTACAATCAAGTTGAAAAAACTCTTATCTAGTAACCACCAGATTACTGGATAAATAGTCCCATATCTGTACAGTAGAAGGTAATGAGGAGGCAGTGTGTAACCTACTGTACATCTTCATTGGCTGGTAAGGTGTTTTATTCCCACTAATGTTACTTTATTCTCTCCCTCTACCTGACACTATTCACAAAGCTCTTACAAGTAATAATTACTGTACACTAAGTCTCCATTGAACCAAAGGGTTTGGTTCCACTAAAATGCTTTCGTTAGGTGAATTATGTTCATCAAAACCATTTTTCCCATATAAATTAATGTAATAAGGGGGGAATGTGTTCCTGTACTAAGCTCTGTGATAGATTAATATAGTACTGTACTTAGCTCTGTGATACATTAATATAGTACTGTACTGTACTAAGCTCTGTGATAGATTAATATAGTACTGTACAGTTAACCCTCACTTTACGCGGTCCCGCATTCCGCGTTTCCACGTTAACGCGGTGCCTTGCCAGAACCTCACGTGCTCAAATTACGCGGTACGTGAACCCCATTATGCGGAGAGTGTCCGGCGCGACGCTATTTTTAGATTCGCCCCACCCGCCTGCCTGCCTGTGCTCCTCGCCTCCTCCCTCCGCTTGGGCAAGCGGCACGGTAAGGTTGCGCAGTGTGTGTCTTTGTTGCGTTATCACTGACGTCATATGACGTATCAGACCTGTGATTGGCCATGCATCCCTACCCCCCTCTGCTGCTAGCTGTAACTGGCTTAAAGTATTATGACGTGTCCACCCGGAGGGAGGGAGGGAGGGAGGAAAGACGACGCTTGACCTAGCCGCGGCAGTTTCATCCCTCAAGGCCACTCCGTGTAAACGCGCATACATTGTTCCGTAAAATGGCTTCCGCCGGACCACCACCCCCAGAGAGAAACCTTTCCTTACCTGGACCCAGCGGCACTAAGCTAAAGAAGACACGACGTTCCTTAAGCTACGAGGTGAAGTATACCATCATCCAAGAGTTGGAGAAAGGAACAAGGCAGGTTGATTTGGCGCGCCAGCATGGTGTGAACGAATCTACGATCCGGGCTATAAAGAAGGATGCAGCCAAGATAAAGGAGCACATGAAGATCACAAAGTCTACAGGTGCTTCTATGATCAAGTATTTTCACAACCAGGTGCTTCTCAAGACAGAAAAATTACTTGTGAGGTACTTGGTGCGTCAGGCGCGACGGAACATGGCGGTCGACACGCGCTCTGTTAAGGACTACGCACGTGAACTGTACATGGCAGTGGCACGAAAGATGGGAATTACAGAGCCCAAACCCTTTAATGCTTCCTCTGGGTGGTTACAGAGGTTTAAGATCCGGAACAAGATCACCAATATAAACATTGGTGGTGAAGAAGCGAGTGCTGACCGTGCTGCGGCTAGGGAATTTCCTCCGTTTTTACGTGAGATTATGGAGGAAGGACAGTACAGTGACGACCAGGTGTTTAACATGGACGAATCTGGTCTTTTCTGGAAAAAGCTACCTTCCAAGTCCTTCGTTGTAAAGAATGCCAGCAGGATTCGGGGCCGGAAAATGCAGAAGGAACGCATCACCGTCCTGTTTACCACCAATGCCTCCGGTACCTGTAAGCTCAAGTTATCGGTGATCCAAACAGCACGCAAGCCGCACCCGTACAAAACCATGGACATGACCAAGCTAAATGTCCACTGGCTGACCGCACGTAAAGCGTGGATGTTCTCTACACTGTCCCTCTCCTGGTTTGATGACTGTTTTGTTCCCGATGTAAAAAAATTCTGTGAGCGACAGAATGTGCCATTCAATATTTTGTTGCTGCTGGACAACGCACCAGGACACTTGCCCCTACTGTTAGATCATCACCCCAACGTAAAAGTGGTCTTCCTTCCTCCCAACACTACGTCATTAATCCAGCCCATGGACCAGGAGTTAATCTGCAATGTAAAAGCTGCATTCTCAACAAAAAAATTCCAGCTCCTGAACGACTACACCAACACCAGGGAAGAGTTGCGTAACCTGAGTGACACCACCACCGATAGCAAGAGCGAAGAAGATGAGGATCAACAGTTGGAACAGCAAAAAATACTCTTCAAACAATTCTGGAGAGTATTTAACATCAAGAAAGCTGTGGACTTCTTGGTGGAGTCAAGGGATCAGCTGTCTATTGCTACAATTCGTCACGCATGGAGACATGTGTTGCATGGAATACCAGGTGAGAGGAGGAGTCAATCTGTGACTGGTGAGGTTCAGAATGTTGCAGTAGCAGTGGACCTTGCCAGAGAAGCTGCGCAGACTGTTACAGTTCCAGGCTTCTCCGAGACCACCAACGACGACATCCTGGAGGTGATCAGAGATCCTGAAGTGACTGCCGACGAGATGTTGGAAGAAGAACACGTCAGTGAAGAGGAGGAAGAAGGTGCGTCATTCTCCGAAGAACACAGTTTAAGTCATAGTGATATTAAGGGTGCCATGGAGTGTGCAGAGAAAATGAAGTCCTTCCTTTCCCGCGACAATGACGATGACCGCTATGAAGTCTTCCATACCCGGCTGGTGCAGGCTATGGAGCCGTACATCAAGGTGTATCACGACAACATCAACGCCAGCCGTCAGCAAAGCATAACAGATTTCTTCGCCCGCAACCCACCACAGCCAGCCCAAGCCAGTGATAGTGGCTGTGAAGATGACTTTGAGGGATTTGTCAGGGAAGTCCTGACAACTGTAAGTGACAGTGATGGTGATTCACCTAGTAATGGTGATTCACCTGAGGGCCAGTAATCTGCCCTCTGCCTCGGAACCAGCCTCCATCCCCGTATGCCGACCCATCTCTTCTACTACCGTAAGTGTTCCACCTAATTTTTAGTTTTCTAACCTAACCTTTATTTTTCCTATGTTAACCTTTATTTTTCCTAACCTAACCTCTTCTATATTACTTGTTTTTTCATACCATCATAAAGTTAAGATAAAATTTTTACTACAACATAGTTATGTGTCGTCAAAAAGTGGAGTTTAGGGATCGGCCTGGACTCCATTTCAATTAATCCCATATGTTATGTTATTCACTTTACGCGTTTCTCGCTTTCCGCGGTACCCTCCGGGTTACATTAACCACGTAAAGTGAGGGTTAACTGTACTTAGCTCTGTGATACATTAATATAGTACTGTACTGTACTAAGATCTGTGATAGATTAATATAGTACTGTACTAAGATCTGTGGTAGATTAATATAGTACTGTACTAAGCTCTGTGATACATTAATATAGTACTATACTAAGCTCTGTGATACATTAATATAGTACGTACTGTACTGTACTAAGATCTGTGGTAGATTAATATAGTACTGTACTAAGCTCTGTGATACATTAATAAAGTATGTACTGTACTGTACTAAGATCTGTGGTAAATTAATATAGTATTGTACTAAGCTCTGTGATACATTAATATAGTACTGTACTGTACTAAGATCTGTGGTAGATTAATATAGTACTGTACTAAGCTCTGTGATACATAAATATAGTACTGTACTGTACTAAGATCTGTGGTAGATTAATATAGTACTGTACTAAGCTCTGTGATACATTAATATAGTACTGTACTGTACTAAGATCTGTGATAGATTAATATAGTACTGTACTAAGCTCTGTGATACATTAATATAGTACTGTACTGAGCTCTGTGATACATTAATATGGAACTGTACTGTACTAAGATCTGTGGTAGATTAATATAGTACTGTACTAAGCTCTGTGATACATTAATATAGTACTGTACTAAGATCTGTGATAGATTAATATAGTACTGTACTAAGCTCTGTGATACATTAATATAGTACTATACTAAGATCTGTGGTAGATTAATATAGTACTGTACTAAGCTCTGTGATACATTAATATAGTACTGTACTAAGATCTATGGTAGATTAATATAGTACTGTACTAAGCTCTGTAATACATTAATATAGTACTGTACTAAGCTATGTGATACATTAATATGGAACTGTACTGTACTGTACTAAGATCTGTGGTAGATTAATATAGTACTGTACTAAGCTCTGTGATACATTAATATAGTACTGTACTAAGATCTGTGATAGATTAATATAGTACTGTACTAAGCTCTGTGATACATTAATATAGTACTGTACTAAGATCTGTGATAGATTAATATAGTACTGTACTAAGCTCTGTGATACATTAATATAGTACTGTACTAAGATCTGTGGTAGATTAATATAGTACTGTACTAAGCTCTGTGATACATTAATATAGTACTGTACTAAGATCTGTGGTAGATTAATATAGTACTGTACTAAGCTCTGTGATACATTAATATTGTACTGTACTAAGATCTGTGATAGATTAATATAGTACTGTACTAAGCTCTGTGATACATTAATATAGTACTGTACTAAGATCTGTGGTAGATTAATATAGAACTGTACTAAGCTCTGTGATACATTAATATAGTACTGTACTAAGATCTGTGGTAGATTAATATAGTACTGTACTAAGCTCTGTGATACATTAATATAGTACTGTACTAAGATCTGTGGTAGATTAATATAGTACTGTACTAAGCTCTGTGATACATTAATATAGTACTGTACTAAGCTCTGTGATACATTAATATAGTACTGTACTAAGCTCTGTGATACAT